CTCGTCTGTGTGTGTGTGTGTGTGTGTGTGTGTGTGTGTGTGTGTGTGTGTCTGACTGTGTGTGTGTGTGTCTGTGTCCACGTGTTGTCGTACGGCATCTCTACTCTATGGTTCCAAATTGTCCGCCGCTCATGCCCATCGCCCTAACTTGCGTTTTGTCGCCCATACCCGCCCCCAAACCCAGATTGGAGACTCGTTGGAACGAAACCTTGCCAACCGACCCTCCGTCGAACAGCTCCAGAACAACAACATCCTGCGCCGTAAGTGACAACCAGCGAGCTGTGATGCGTGCTGTTTTGGACTTGTCGACCCAGCGCCCCACCTTCCTGCGAGCTTGCCATCCAAACTATCGCCGTGCTGCAACACTGCACCTGGCGATTGCTGCGCTGGCAGTTGTTTGATCCTCGCGGCTGTTGTTGGAGTTTTGGTTGTTTTTTTTCTCACAGTGTAGCTGCGGTGGTGATTGTGGTGGTGACACCCTCGCTCTGGCGTGCATGGGTTACGTAGACACATCTGCGGATCCCCATGTCGCGGAACGCGTGCAGGACATCAACAAGCACCAGCTACAGTCCCGCCTCTCCTCCCACCTCACCGCCCGCCCGCCTGTCGCAGACCTCGTGCGTTGCTCTCCCTCTCTCTCTCTCTCTCTCTTTCGTGTGCTTGCGCAAGGTCACGTCTGCAGCTCCCGCAACCCACCACACACAGCAACACACGTTCAAACAAACACACACAACACATACACACTCATACACACACATACACACGACCCCAAACACAAACACAAACACAAACACACACAGCACACTTGCGCTCCGTCCCCTTGTGTTTAACATTTGTTCGTTCACACTCCATGCGTCGGCTAATCCCCTGTCTCGCTCACCCACACTCATGCACAGGTCCATCGCAACATCTTGCCTGCGGACAAGGAAGCCGCTGGCCCGCACGGCCACAGCCCGCTGGCATCCTCTGTCATATCATCCTCCACACACGCCCTGTCCCCAATGCAACAAGACCAACAAGAACAGCAATACCACCACATCGAGGGCCCGGACTTTGATGGCAATGATCTTGGTGGCGATGGCCGTTTCCCACCAACGCCGCCGCCGCCTCCAGCCACGTCTGCTGCTGCCCCGCCCACGTCCTCTTCATCCTCGTCGTCGTCCGCCTTCGCCAGCAGCCAACAGCAGCCCATGCAGGCATCCGCGCCTATCAGCGCACGCGAGGGCAGTGCATTTCAGCCCAAGCAGCCGGTGGCCGGACAGCAGGTACGCTTGACGCCGCTCAAGGCGCCGGCAACGCTGCCCTCAAACACGCGCGTGGTGCTGGTCCCTCCCGGGCAGCAGTACATCATGGCCAACGTAACCATCGTGGGGGCGCAGCAGCAACATCAGCAGGCAACCGGCACTTCCCCCATGAGCAGCAGCGGCGGCGCAGGAGTCCCTGAAGCCAATGTGGGCCAACAAGGGATGGTGGCATCGCCAGCAACTTCCACATCAACGTCCACCACCGCCTCGACGTCCACCTCTGCCTCGGCATCGACGCCCCCCACAGCGCTGGCCACGCCCGTTGGTGATGCCGGCAGCTCGCAGCTTTCGGGCAAGGACGGCGCGAAGCGGCGGGCAACGGTTGTGCTGCAGCCGCACCACGTGATGCTTGCACCGCAGCCGGCGCCCGTGCCTCGCGACCCGCAGCACAAGCACATTGTGGACCAGGAGCTGAAGCGGTACGTGCAGGAGAACATCAAGGTTATGCGCAAGCAGTACCCCGACCAGGAGAACGAGGGCCTGGAGCAGTTTGTGGAGCAGGCGGTCTCGGAGCAAGCGCGCGCCTACCTCAAGGTGACGACGCAGCTCACTGCCGTGCAGAAGAAGGCCACCCTGCCGCACAGCGACGTGCGCGCGCGCATCAAGGCGCAAGAGCCTGCGCAGGCGCGAGCAGAGGTGCACCAGGAGCTGCAGGCGTTCCAGGCGCGCTCGGCCCTGCCGCATCGCCAAGTGCGCACGCGCCTCACGGAGCACCGCAAGTCGCAGTCTGCATCGTCCAAGGGCGCGTCGTCGTCGGCGTCGTCATCGTCGTCGTCGGCGGCGGCGGCAGCGGCCAAGGCGGCGGCAGCCAATAGGCGGCGACGTTCCCGCAAGAAGGGCGACACGCAGCGGGCGAGCCTGCGCAGTGGCAACAGGAAGGCGATGAAGCGGTTCAAGTACCACGAGTACTTGCCTGTGGACGGCGAGCCCAAGGCAGGGCGCCGGCGCAGCCACTCGTCATCCCCCATCACGTTCCTGACGTCGCCTGCAACGGACAACTCCAACCCAGCCACCCCTGATGAAGAGATGCGCGCCGTTGGTATCAAGGGCGTGTCCCCTGCAACACACATGGAGTGCGCCCCAGACACCCCGTGCGTTTCCCACTGTTTGTTTGTTTGTTTGTTTGTTTGTTTGTTTGTTTGTTTGTTTGTTTGTTTGTTTGTTTGTTTGTTTGCGCAAGTCTCCGTCCTTCACCACCTCTCGTTTGCATGTCTTCCTCACACACACACACACACACGCACACACACACACGCGCGCACGCACGCAAACCACCACCACCGCCGCCGCATCAGGGCGAGTGCGACTGCTGCGTCCCCCGATTCCACTGCGCCTGCGCGGGACCGCAGCACGCGCCGCTCCCGCCGCCGTTCCAGTCGCCGCAGCGCCTCGAGACGGCGTGCAGGATCAGAGGCCACAAGCGCATCGCGCGCAGAGAAGCCGCCAGCGTCCCCGCCACGGTCTTCATCCGTGTCGCACCACCACGCGGCAGCAATGCACCAGCAACATCATACGCAGCAACACCAACAAACACAGCAGCAGCAGCAGCAGCAGCAGCAGCAGCAGCAGTATGTTCAGCAGCACAGCCGGGCGATGCCGCCACGTGACATCTTCTCGCTCAGCTGGTCGGGCCCGGGCACCATGATGTCACAGGCCGTGCAGATGCAGGCAGCTTCGCCCATGTCGCCAGAGGATGATTCAGTGTCACCACAGCACCACCAGCACTACCCACATCCCCACCACCGGCAGCACTACCAGCAGCACCAGCAGCACTACCAGCAGCACCGCCCCGCGTCGTTGCAGCTGCCAGGACAGCCCCACCCTCACCACCGCTCATGCGATGTCACGCCCATGATCCGTTCCCCGCAAGGTGAGCTGGCGCCGGCGCCGGCGCCTTCCTGGGACATGGGGCAGTCACCAGGTGCAGTGGACAGCGAGATGCATGCGCTGATGATGCGGCACAAGCAGCAGCAAGCCATGCTCCAACACCAGCAGATGGCTGAACAGCACATGCTGCAGCAGCGCCGCGTCATGCGGTTCCCTGCTGCTGACCTCCACCAGTCACACCACCAGGCTGCGCTTCATGGTGTCGCGAGCAGCGGACCACGCGCCGCCCGGCACCAACGCTCGCTGTCGGACGTGAGCGTGTATCCATTCCACGCCCACCACAGCCAGCACCACACCCACGCCAACCCGGACACGGAAGCAGCACAGCTTGAGCGACCGCACACAGGCGAGACCTTGAACGTCGACAGTCATGCAGCCGGTGGTGCTGCCCACCACCTCCAGCAGCAGCAGCAGCATCAGCATCACCAACCCGATCAGCAGCAGCAACAGCCCTGGGAGTACACACAGCAGCAGCACGACGCCACGCACGTTGCTGGGTCTCCACCGGATGTGCTGCACTTGCCGCCAAGCGATCAGCTCCTGCAACAGCCGCTCCCTCTGCAGCACCAACCACAACACGAGGCGCAAGCACAGCAAGTACCCCTTTTCCACCAGCAGCAGTCGCAACATCTTCATCAACCGCGAGAGCAACCGCAAGAGCAGCAACCGCACCATCAAGAACAACAGCAGCCACAACAACAGCAACAGCAGCCACAACAACAGCAGGAAAACCTTACACAGGCCACATCACCGCTGTTTGAGCTGCTGCCTGAGGAGCTGTTTCCGTTTCCGGACGATCTGGAAGGACTGGCAGACCTCACAGCACCCGACCTCCTCGACCCCTCGCTCATGCTGGACGAGCCCCAGCAGAACAGCGCCCACCAGCACCAGCAGTCAACTGATGGTGTCGGTGTACAGGCGCACTCCCCAGCCAACCCGGCCAACCCGACGGCATCAGCGGATGTTCGCCAGCAGCAGCAGCAGCAGCAGCCTGAGCCGCTGTTGTCCCTGCAGCCGCGAGCACACGACCGGAGTGCATCCTGGAGCGGCAACCCGTCATCGTTTGGCATTGACTTGTCCTCTTCTGCACAACTTCACCACCAGCAACATCACCACCAGCAACATCAGCCCCAGCAACAGCACCAGCAACAACAGCCTACAACTGTGGATGCGTCCAGCGCCGCCACGTCAGTTGCCCCGTTGTCTGGCGGCATGTTCTCCATGGATGAGGCGGGCGATTTAGCCACTTCCCCAACTGGCCTTGACGCCCTCATCAGCGACGACCCGCTCATCGGTGAGCGCCAGAGTTTGTGTGTGTATGTGTGTGTGCGTGTATGTGTGTGTGTGTGCGTCTATTTGTCTGTTCTGTCTGTCTGTTCTGTCTGTCTGTCTGTCTGTCTGTCTGTCTACCTGTCTGTCTACCTGTTCTGTCTGTCTGTCTATGCTTCTGCATGTCTATGTGTGTGCATGTGTGTAATGTATTGTATCTTGTATTCATGAAAAGTTCATGCATGTCTGCCTGGCTCCGTCTTGCTCGGCTCACTGATTGTGTCACTGACAATGTCCTCGTCTTTGCTGCAGGTGACTTTGCTCTATCGGGCCAATGATGGCAGTGACCCAAGTGCGCCCACAAGAAGCAAGTGTTGTCCGTGCTCCTCCTTCCCCCTGGTCCTGGCAGCTTGCAGTTGCCAGGGGTTGTGAGGATGCATGTTGTTGTTTTTCTAATCCCATCTGCTATTCCTGTCATACGTTTGCCAACGCGCAACGCTACCACGACTGGGCCCACACAGGTCGCTGCCTGCGTCCGCTGATAAGTCTCAGAGTTTTAATTGAATCCATTTTCACCTGCTTGTGCCACGTCTGTAAAGTCAGCCTTGTTGTCTTTTTTGGGTCGAGCGTGGCGCTTATTGCTTTTTCCTGCCCTTGTGTTTGCGGCCATTCCCTTGCTGTTTGTTTTCCCTTTCAGTCCCGTGTTAAACTCTAATTCCTGGATGCGTGTGATGTGATGTGACTGCTTTCCTGTCACTTTTTTTTTTCGTTCCTCCCTCTAACTTGCTTTCGTTGCGAACCGACAACGTGTTAACTGGCTTTGTTGTAGCGGCGGCTGTTTGCGTGCCCCATTGCCCCTATTGCCGCCTGGTTTTGTGTGCTTTTGCTGACATGAATGTGCCGCGCTGTGGTCGTGGCTTCATCTCTCTTCCCCTCCCTCTCTCTCACGCGCGCGCTCTCTCCTACGTCCCGCCCATGAATGCATGCGCCCGTTGTGCGCCCATGCTGCCTTTGACGGGGCGTAGTGTGCCCGCGTGTGACGGAGGGCGTTCCTTGCTACCTTGGACATGAATGCCAGCCCCCTTCTCTCCCTCCCCCTGTCCCCTTCTCTTCCTGTACCTCGGATGAGTAGACTTTCAACGAGAACGGCAAGATGCAAACACAGCACATGACAACAATGACGGCTTGACGGTGTGGTCACGGACACGGCTCACTGTCTGGTTGTGGATTGTGTTGAGAGGGGGGGGGGCATTTAATGCTCGAGTACTTGCGTATCTCAGTCGTTCCTGGCCAATGAGTGTAAGCAAACCGAGGCTGGGTGTGATGCATGCATGACCCCGCATGCACAAGACAGCGACAGAACAGCAATGCAAAAGTGAACACATCGATCGTGTCACGCAGCAGTGTGTATGTACGATGATTGGACGAGCGATAACGTGACACCAAGACTGGGATGGGATGACATCTTGCTTGGGTGTGTCATGTCCAGGGCATGGTACAACACACGTTCACAACAACTGGTGGTGGTGGTGGTGGTGGGATTGCTGGGGATTGCTGTTGTGGTGACTTGGTGTAGTGTGTTGGGTGGCAGTGCCGGCAGGTGCAGATGATGACTGCGGCACATCTGTTCCATCCGTATGCACCCTGGCGAGGTGATCGAACGTGTGCACCTCGTGCATGTCAATGGGTGTGTTGAGCTGCTCCAACAGCCGCAGCCACGCCTCGTCCGTTTTTGGTTGGTCGCCACTGCATCAAGTGGGCAGACGGGGAAGAGGGTGGGCAAAGGATTGCAACAGGTGAGGAGAAGGCAACACAACTCGCACGCACGCACACTCGCATACACACGCACGCATACACACACGCATACACACATGCACACACGCATGCACACATGAGACGCACCAGAGGCAGTTTGCGAGGCATGTGCAGAATGCGCCACACATGCAGTTGTCCCAGGGACACAACAGCTTCTTTGCGTCCTCCAACCCAAGAACAGATTGTGAGCGAAGGCGCGATTGCAATTGCAGCTGCAGCTGGTGTCGCGTGGCCCCACATCCGCCTCCATGCGGTGGTGGTGGTCGTGGTGGTGGTGTTGTTGTTGTTACTGTTGCTGCTGCTGTTGGTGGTATTGCTGCTGTTGTTACTGGTTCGTGCTGCTGCTTGACCACAAGTGACGACGGCAGGCGTTGTTGCTGCTGTTGGTGTGGATGGTGCTGGGGTTGTGATTGACAAGACTGTGGCTCGTGAATGTTGACTTGCTGTGGTTGCTGCTGCAATTGTGGCTGCAAGAGCGGCTGTGTCTGCTGCTGTGGTGCGTGCGCGAGATGAGTCGGCTGAGAAAGGTTGACGGGAGGGGCAGCAGCGTCAACTGCAGAGTCAGGTGCGTGCGGTGGCAAATCCTGGGCTGCGGTTTGCTGTTGAGTTGAGCAACAGCTACTTGACAGCCGTGCTTGCTGCTGTGCAATGTCGTCAGTAACGAAGGATGCAGGCGGGAACGAGCAAGCTGTTGTGGACAATGGGACGGTTGTGGCCGGTGGCGCTGATGGAAGCATGGAAGGGTTGGGTGACAGCGGTGCTGGACGACAGCACGCCGAGCCTTGCGCAGGCTCCGTGTGCATCGAGTCTGGGCTGAGCATGGGCGTATCGGCCTCCTTGATTGGTGTGCCCATGTGCCCACAGCACGTTGGTGTGGCCGCAGGTTGTTGTTGTTGGTGGTAGCAGTGGTCCACGAGGTCATGTTGATGCTGCTGCTCGTGATGTTCGCTGCTTTGTGCGGCTTCGCGAATCCAGTCTTCGTCCGTCTTCTCCACCGTTCCGCTGCACACACAACCGATGAAAGTGTCAGCAACGAGTAATCACCCCAGACAAAAAAAAAACAAGCTGTGCAATGGCACGCACACATACACACGGATGTTAGCGCGTAAGCACACACAAGCACACAAGCACACACACACACAAATGCACGCACAGAAATACATGCACACATGCACACAAATGCACGCACCACGTGCAGCTTGAATTGCAGTAGCAGGCGCCCTGGCAGTGGCAGTCCTTCCACCGACACGACTCCTCCCGGCGAAGAGCGGCCGCAAGCAGTGACAGCACCTGCTTTGGGGTCTGCGAAACCGCACTGCCCAATAGCGCCGGGTCGCCGCTGCCAAGATGCTGGTGACTGTCAATGTGGTGGTGGTGATGGTGGTGGTGGGTGGCGGTTGTGGGTGCCAGGTGTACTGGCTGTGGGGTCGCCTGCGCAGTGACGGGCATGCTGGTGGCGGCTGACAAAGCGTGAGCGTGTGGTGCCGGTGGTGCCGATGATGGCTCCTGAGACTGGGGGTATTGCTGTTGTTGTTGTTGTTGTTGTTGTTGTTGTTGTTGTTGTTGTTGTTGTTGTTGTTGCTGCTGTTGTTGTTGCTGTTGTTGTTGTTGTTGTTGTTGTTGTTGTTGTTGTTGTTGTTGTTGATGCTGTGGTTGACGTTGTTGTTGTTGATGCTGTGGTTGACGTTGTTGTTGTTGATGATGTGGTTGACGTTGTTCTTGTTGCCGATGTTGTTGTTGCTGGTGGTGCTGATGTTGATGCTGTTGGACAGCAATGCGGTGGTCCGAGGCGACGAGTGACGCAAGCTTCTTGTTCATCTCCGCGACACGATTTGCACTGGCACGCCTGCCATTGGTATTGCTGCTGCTGCTGCTGCTGCTGCTGCTGCTGCTGCTCCTTCGACTCGCGTGTGCACTGCCGTTGGTGTGAACAGGGTCACGGCCACTGTTCGGGCTGGTGCTGCTGCTGGTGGAGTTGCAGGTGCGGCTGGAAGCGGGCACGGCCGGGGCGGTCGCATCGTGTGCACGGCCTGTGCCAGACGCTCCGCATTGCATGTCGGCACTGGCAG